AATAAATAAAATATTTAATGTAATAGTTGGTTTTTTAAAATATTAATTCTAAGTTAAGGTTTTAAACTAGTTCCCAAAAATATTTGGAAAGATGACCTATACTGTACTAATCTCTTATTATTGTTATTGTTATTGTTATTATTATGATTATTATTTGGTGGGCTTCTAAGGATGACTTAACAAAATAAATTTAAAACTCTTCTTTCGGAATCCGCGTACGATCCTTTTGTATCTATTTGGAGTTAGAGAAGAAATGTGAATTTGTGACCGGTGCCACTTTGGTTAATTTTGTTGATTTGACGAAGCTAGGAATCTAAAGTAAAACCTAAGGGTGTTCATATCACATTTAATCGATTGATCTCATACAAATAGAACTAATCTAATAAAAAACTAAACTAAACCAATATAAAATTGTGTTGGTTTGTGTTATATCCTAAATTGAGTTCTATGAGAATTAGGACACGTGGAGACATCCTAAAAATAGTCCTATCAAGATTAAATAGATTAAATTCCACTAAAATTAAAACACCCAAATACCAATCAAATAGAGTTGTATTCCTATAATAACTTTATGTAAATATCTTATAAATACCTCAAGGATCAACCTAAGGAGATATTATTTTTCTTTACTTTCTTTCCATTGTAAACTCTCTCTACTCTTTATCAATAAAATTCTTGGTTCCACACCATCTTTTCTATTTTGTAGTGTTAATATTTGGCGCCCATTGTGGGGCCAAGTTCTTGTTCCCCCATGAATACTATAGGGCGAATTTGGGAAACTCATCAACACCTCCCAACAACATTCAAATTTTTGGAAATAACATCACCTCTTCTTCATCAAGAACAAATTCCAATGACACCGTTGGCAGATCTAAACTAGAAGCTCTGTCAATAGCGTCACAGGTGCGAAGGCTTACGCAGGATATGGAGGAAACAAGGCAAAGCTTAAGGGCAATAAAAAAGGCCATAGCGTCCTTCACGAACACAGTAAATACTCTAACACAGAATCTAACGAGACAGAAGAGAAAGCAGGGGACTTCATCATCAGAAAACACAAGTCAGTATGTTAAAGGAGCAAAGATTCAATGCGTGAAAATAGTAATTATGATGATGAAAGTTACGCACCTTCAAGACCAACTGAATTGACTATTGATACAAGTTTGCAACCATCCTCGGCTTTTACTAAATATAATTTTCGAAATAGAAGCGTGATACTTGGCTCGAAGGTAAGCAGAAGAATAGCTACGCAGCAAATATACAGGGCACCCATTACACCAGCACAATTAGTAAAAAAAGATGCGCAGTTTCATAATAATGATATCTATAGAGAAATAGAGACATTATGCCAATATATATTGAAGGTTGAAGCAGGAAGACAGAGACAGCTAGAATTGACATACACAGCTTCAGTAGAAAAAGCTTTTGCATAAGAAATCATCAGAGAGCTTGTACCGGTAAATTTTAAAACTCCACAATCAGCAGAGTATGATGGGACATAGGATCTAGTTGAGCACGTACAAGGATTTAGGATGGTAATGATGGTTCATGGAGCTTTTGATGCTCTGTTATGTAAACAATTTCCTATGACCTTCAAGAAAGCAGCAGATGCTTGGTTTGCAACACTGCTTGAAAGATTTATCCGGACTTTCAATCAATTCACGAACATGTTCATTAATCATTTTACAGCTAGTAGGATTCCCCGAAAAACCAATCATCACTTGCTGACAATCAAACAAAAAGCAGATGAATCATTAAAAGCCTACATAGCAAGATTCCATAATGAAGCTGTACAAGTGGAAAAGCTAGACCAAAGTGTAGCAATGCATGCTTGATGGATGACCTAAAAGATTCAAGCTTTTATAGGTCTTTAAATAAACGAGAACCAACTAGTTTTAATGATTTATTAAGAAGAGCAGAATGGTACATTACAGTAGAAGAAAGAGCAGTAGTAGTCAAAGAAGCGCAATAAAAAAAATTGAAAAATCAGAAGAAAATCGAAAGAGAAAAATAGAAAAGGAAGAGATCGAAGGGATGTATCACAAATACAACTAGCAAACTACCATAGGAAAATAGAAAAATATTGTAATCATAGAGTAAAACCCAAAAACCTGTGCAAAGGAGATTGGGTATTGTGAAAGACAAAGGTTTAAAAAAAAGGTGGGGGGGTGGGGTGGGGGGGGAGCTGTGCCTAAACTGAGAAGGTAAGTGGTACACAGCTTTAAGAATAAGGTCTTGGCTGTACACATCTTTGTTCACTTCTATGCAACATATAGCTTCAGCATCACCTTTAAGTGAGTCAAAGCTTTAAACACCAGACATGGTGAAACATGAACACGTGAAACTATGGAGCTATTCTTAAAGCTCTAAAATTCGGATAAGGTTAATTAACTCAAAATTTTGAGAAAAAACTAATTAAAATATGCTTAAGCAAACTAAAAGTTACCAGCAAGCTAGGGTGTAAATAAACACCTGAGCAAAAAATACGTAAGCGAGGCTATACTAAAAGCTATAGGCAAGGTAGGGTGTATACAAATACTTGAGCAAAAGCTATGCAAGCGAGGCTATACTGAAAGCTGTGGGCAAGCTATGGTGTATATAAATACCCGGGAAAAAACTACGCAAGCGAGGCTATATTAAAAGTAGTGGGCAAGTTAAGGTGTATATAAGCACCTGGGTAAAAGCTATGCAAGCGAGGTTATACTAAAAGCTGCGGGTAAGTTAAGGTGTATATAAACACCTAGGCAAAAGCTACGCAAGCGAGGCTACGAAGGTTAATGCAATTCTCGAATATAGGAGAGACTTTGCAACATAAACCTGTAGTAATCGATTAGGGTGTAAAAGTTTTGTCCTGACCTATCTTTTATACAAGAAAATGGAGGATATGGCATATACCAACTGATCGTTAAATTATGAATTCTCATTGACGAATGAGGATACCTTCGCCATAAGAAATTATGATGGCCTATAAAAGTGATGGAAAGCTACGCTCAATTTCAAAAACTATAATTTGGTTATACTCAACTTTAGAATATTAGCAAGCTAGTAAACCAACCAAATACATGGGTTTTGGTATAGTTTCGTTGAAAATCACAACGCCAAGCATGATCAAAACTCAAGTTAGAAATAGAGGATTTGTTCAACAAGCAGATGTTCTCAAAACACAACCAATGCACTGTAACATAACAACACAAACACACACACACACACATATATATAAAGAGATCCAAATATAACAAAAAAAAAAAAATAATAAAACATGCATAATAGATAGAGAAATATTAAAGTAGTGCAACCCAAATGTTTTTTCAAAAATAAATTTTTTTATATGTAGGTTTAATAAAAGGTCAGTAAAGCTAAAAAGGAGGGACATCTTGAAAAACCTTTGCATCAACAAAGAAACATAAAAGGAAGCAAGGATTCTTGTGGGGGGAGGCAAAGATTTAGCAACAAGAGTGAGATGTTGGGAAGCACGAAGAGTCTTGAAATCATCTTCGGCGTTGTCGTCCTTATTATCAAAAGTAATTAGCAATAAAAAAGGATCACATACATCATCCGATATCGCAAAACAACTCTTTATGCTTTAAACAGCTCCAAATCCTCATCATCACTCTCAGAATCCAAGGCTAATAGGTTGGTTGATGCAGTGGCAACAAATGCAGACACAAGAACCTAAGGAGGATTGCAATCAGCTGTGTCGATTTGGATATCATCAGGATAAAGAAGCAAAATAAAAATAAAATAAGTTTAGAAGGAGCTCCAACGGTAGCAGAAGTTACGAAAGTCAAACTACAACAGAAGGCGCGCCAACAAAGATCTACCTCCATCTTAGTGAAATCTAGGGTAACCGAAGCAATAATAACAGATTTGGAAGGATCCCCTTCCATTAAATAGAAAAATGGCGAAGTAGAAGAAATAAAGCAAGAACAACTGAAGAAAAGAAGGAAGCCACATTTGGAAGGGAAAGAGAGGAAATTGGAGGAACCAAATAGAAATAAATAAAAAAGTAAACACAAAAAGATGGAGATGGAGAAGAAAGGGCTAAATCGAAAAACAATAAGCAAGAAAAAGAAAGTGAAAAGATCAGACAAATTAATAAAGAAAAAGAAGAAAGTCACCATAAAAAAGAAGGAGAAAAGATAAAGAATTTTATAAAGAAAGGGGTAGAAAGTTTGAGAATGCCTTATCAAAAACTCACATTTTAAAATTCGGCCTTTTAAGCCAAATGGAGAAATCTCAAGAAATCCCGCAAGTTGGTCCATCTCGGTACCAACCGCAAATAGGGGTTGGACACATGTAAAAGCTAGAAAAAGGAAATGACTACACCAGCAAAGAAATCTTGAAGAAAATACAAATAAAGAAATCAAGATACCTACACAGCATATAGAAGATTGATAGAAAGCATACCGAAAGTTGTAAACATAACGAAAAACTTATGTTGTACTCTTTTTTCTTTAAGCTAGGTTTTTATCCTATAGGGTTTTTTTTTACTAGCTAAGGTTTTTAACGAGGCATCCATGGTCACAAAATGTTTGCCATAATAAGATGGAACCTTTTAAAGGCAAAGATATGAAAAAGCTATGCAAAATTTGGAGTCAAGCTACTCAACAAGTTTTTGTTACCCTCAAACGTTTTCGATTGGGGGGCAAATGTTATACCCTAAATTGAGTCTTATGAGAATTAGGACACATGGAGACATCCTAAAAATAGACCTATCAAGATTAAATAGGTTAACTCTAACTAGAATTAAAATACCCAAATACCAATTAAATAGAGTTGTATTCTTA